ACACATGATTTACTGCCACACAATGGAAGAAAATACAAAATCTATATGATAATGCCTTATATAGAGAGTATATAAAGTTACAACATTATATACTCAGTTTTAGCTGAGTTACAACTCAGTAACAAGAAGAAAAACAATCCAATTTAAAAATGGGCAGAATGTGGAGGGATGGGCTAAGTGGGTGATGGGCACTAAGGAAGGTACTTGCTGGGATGAGCACTGGGTATTATATGGAAGTGATGGATCGCTGGGTTCTACTCCTGTAAACAATACTACACTGTATGTTAACTAACTTGAATTTAAATGAATAAATTTAAAATTTAAAAAAAATGAAAATGGGCAGAAGACTTAAACAGATACCCTACAAAAGACAACACACCAATGGCCAATAAGCACATGATAATATGTTCAACATCACTAGGCATCAGACAAAAGCAAATTAAAATCGCAGTAAGATACCAGTACACTCTAAAATTTAAAAGATTAATAATTCGAAGTTCATGAGGATGTAGAAAACCTGAAAATCTCATAAAACACTGGTGCGACTGTAAAATGGCACAAATATTTTTGGGAAGAAACCCTGGCATATCCTTAAAAGTTTGAAACAGTATATTCAAAAGCACAATTATCTAACTAGTAAGTATTTTTCTCTACATCAGAGATAGAAATATATACAGGGGCGCTTGGGTGGCTCAGTCGGTTAAGCGTCTGACTTCAGCTCAGGTCATGATCTCACAGCTTGTGGGTTTGAGCCCTATGTCGAGCTCTGTGCTGACATCTCAGAGCCGGGAGCCCACTTTGGATTCTGTGTCTCTCTCTCTCTCTGCCCTTCCCCCAACTGCAGTATGTCTCTCTCAAAAATAAATCAACATTAAAAAACATTTTTTAAAGAAATATATACAGAACAAAACAGGGTTAAAAAAAAGTCAAATATATAGTTACCGTAGGACTCCAAGTTGTGCTTCTCGTTATCTGTCCAAAGGAAATTAAAAAATACATCCACAGAAAGACTTGGACATGAATGTTCTGGGGACCAGGGACTGTTCTGGGGAATGGCAAGCTTCCCTGAGTGACATCTCATTCTAAGAACCGAGTGCTTGCGGGAAGCGTGGATGTGGCCGCCTACGGTGCTCTCAGCTTGCCTGGTATGGAACCATTGCCTCATCAGCAGGGCCCCAGTCTTAGTGTGTTGCCTCACAGATAAAACCTCCACACCATGCACGAGTGGTGACGGGGTGGCAGAAGAGAACCTTGACCAGGAAAGAAAACCTTCTTTTTGCGTTTTGGACGGATCGCTCTGGTATTGTTTTGAGCTCTGTCACACTGGCAACCCTGGGTGAAAAGAATTCACAGTAAGACCAGAGCCGAAAGATACCAAGCGATTGGCACTGGTTAAGGTTTCTCTTTTCTTTTTTAAGTTATTAGAATTTTAAATATAGTAGGCCGGAGTCTGGTTCATGTGGTTCCTCAGTAGATACGGCCCCAGACAGGACAAGTTTATGTGGCAGAGGTAGCAGACCACAGAGGAAGTGTGACCGAGCCTTTGCCTCCGGAATGAATATGGAAGTGGAGCATTCTGGAGTGTGACAGCGCCCTGCATTCCTGTCCCATTCTATCACGCCAAGGTAAAAAGTGAGAGCCCAGAGCAGTGTCTAGACAGAACATAGTCTTACCTTGGACAATTTCTGTTCTCTTTGTAGACTGTGGTAGGCAGAATGCTCATCCTTAAGTGTCAATCCCTAACGCCTGCAAACTGTAATATGTTACATTAAACAGCAAAAGGCTCTGCAGCTGTTAAACAAGATTTTACGATTGGGAGATTATTCCGGTTTGTGGGTGGGCCCAATATAATCATGTGAGCCCTTAAAAGTAGGAAACCAATTTGACAATAAATTTCATATATAAATTAAAAAAAAAAAAAAAGTAGCGAACTTTCTCCAGCTGGGGCAAAAGATATGGCAGAAGGGAAATTGGGCGAGATTTGAAGATTTGAAGCCCGAGAGGGACTGGATGGGCCGGTGCTGGAGTGGCCACAAAGAAAGCACGGGAAGGAACGTGGGCAGCTTTTACAAAAAGACCAGCCCCCAGCTGACAGCTAGCCAGGAAATGGGGAACTCCATCCTACAGCTGCAAGGAATTGAATCCAGCGAACAACCTCGATGACCTAGAAGCACAATCTTCCCCAGAGCCTCTAGGGAAGACTGCAGCCTAATTGAACAACCTAATTTCAGCCTTGGGAGGCCTTCCGCAGAGGACCCAGCTGAGCCCCGTTGGGCCCAGACTTCTGAGCCGTGAAACTGTGAGATAATAAATGGGTGCTGTTTTGAGTCACTAAACTTGTGGTAATTTTTCTGGCAGCAGTAGAAAACTAAAACATAAACTTAATTTATTTATTTTTTGAGAGAGAGAGACAGAGAGTGTGAGCAGGGGACGGGCAGAGAGAGAGGGAGAGACAGAATGTCAAGCAGGCTCCGTGCTGCTTGAGCCCGACACAGGGCTCAAACTCACAAACCATGAGATCATGACCTGAGCCAAAAACTAAGAGTTGGACGCTTAAGCAACTGAGCCACCCAAGCACCGCAAATGTTTATTTTTGAGACAGCATGAGTGGGGGAGGGTCAGAGAGAGAGGGAGACACAGAATCCGAAGCAGGCTCCAGGCTCTGAGCTGTCAGCACCGAGCCTGTCATGGGGCTGGAATCCACAGACTTTGAGATGATGACCTGAGACAAAGTTGGACGCTTAACCGACTGAGCCACCCAGGTGCCCCAACACATTTTTTTTTTAATTTTTTTTTTCAACGTTTATTTATTTTTGGGACAGAGAGAGACAGAGCATGAACGGGGGAGGGGCAGAGAGAGAGAGGGAGACACAGAATCGGAAACAGGCTCCAGGCTCTGAGCCATCAGCCCAGAGCCTGACGCGGGGCTCGAACCCACGGGCCGCGAGATCGTGAGCTGGCTGAAGTCGGACGCTTAACCGACTGCGCCACCCAGGCGCCCCTACATTTTTTTTTTTAAAGCAAGCAAGCAGAATTCTTAGGCAAACGTGATTTTGAATTCCCTTTTCTTATTGCAAACATGTGATGTAGGAGTCTTAATGTTTGATCAAAAAAGTCTTAATCTTTGCTCAAAAAAGAAGTTACAATCCATATTTCCACCTGTGCCCCTCAGTATATGGCTGTATACAATGGGAGAATGAAGCTCTATGCAGGGTATTTTCTCTCTAAGGCCTTCTAGAAGACCCTAGAGTGGGGGATGGATTTCAGTGAGATCAAGACTGTAACCAGGCTACTGTCCTAATCCAGTTGAGGGACGATAGGGCAGGGCTAGCTGCTGTGGTGAAGTCAGTTTGGAAAGAGAGACACTGGTTCCAAATGGCTCTGGAAGAGCCAGTTAGGTGGAAGGTAATCCCAGTGAATCTGAGAATGCAAGAGGAGAGGCTTGGGGAGCAATGCCCGTGGTATGAGTTGATTATGGGGGAGGGGGTACTTGTGGAACATCCATGTAGCATCCAGGAGATGTGTGGATATTGAATACTGAAGCTCAATGATTCTCAGAGACTCCAATTTGGGAATAAGTAACACACAGGTTCAGAAGACGCTTATTATGGGTTCCCTTTTGCTTTAAAACACAGTAAGAAGAGGAATGTGGAAGAAAGAACCAGGATTTTGTTTGAGGTCATTAGAAAAGGATTGGAGAGGGGTGCCTGGGTGGCTCAGTCGGTTAAGCAGCCGACTTCGGCTCAGGTCATGATCTCACAGTCCGTGAGTTCGAGCCCCGCGTTGGGCTCTGTGCTGACAGCTCAGAGCCTGGAGCCTGTTTCAGATTCTGTGTCTCCCTCTCTCTGACCCTCCCCTGTTCATGCTCTCTCTCTGTCTCAAAAATAAATAAACATTAAAAAAAAAAAAGGATTGGAGACAAAAAAGGACAGAAAAGATGAGACAACTGTTGGGTGAGGTGGAATTGATAGATTTACTAATAAACTACAAAACAGGCATGCCTAGAGGGTTCATGATCTCTCTTAGAGGAGAAAAAGGAGATGGCAGGGAGGCAGAAGCTGGAGAACGTTCGTGTTAGCCACGAGGGCTCAGGACGGCTCTGTCCTGCCTGGGTGAATGACAGTGTGGCTGGAGGTGGATACCCAAGAGGAAGGCACAGGAAAGGATTCCACCAGCCACCTGCACACATGCGCCTTCATCAACTGGGTATTTGTCATTTCAGGAATGCAAATCTATTGTGTTTCTCCTGAGTATATCATTCAGTGAAGATTTAGCTATTCACATCATTTTCAGGAAAATTGGAGCCGCCTCCCTGCACCCCCATTTCTGTGCACACAGAGCTGCTGTATTGACTAAGACTGAAAAAAATCTGAGTTAGCTTCAGCAGTAGCCACCCATGCATTCAACAGTTTCCTCTGGAAAAGCTCACGGTGACTCTTCTTGATACCCTCTGCTAAATCCCAATCTGTGAAAATATTTGAAGGCTGCGCACCGCAGCTGGAGGAAAGAATGAATCACCCACACACCAGAGCTCACGAGGGCTCCCTGCTGAACTACCAGCTGTGGGGAAAGCAGCCAGCCAGGGAAGGTACCATTTAGGACACAGTGTTCTAGATGGGCTCAAAAAGAATTAAAATTTAACCCATTCCAGAGCACCAAAGGATTATTTTAGGTCATGGGACCAGATGCTACACTTTCATTACATTTCCTGATGCCCCTAATTTTGGCTAAGAATTGAAACAGTTGTTAAGATTCTCTTAGACTCTCTCACACATCTAATTGCAAGCTGCAGATATGAAATCTCTCCAGAATCTTTTCCTGCTGCCTTTTTAAGTCCCCCTTAGACACCCATCCAATATTGTTGAATTCAAACACATTTCTACCACAAGAATTAAAAAGTACTTAAGTATACGTTTATTCTACTCGGTATCAATGCCACACACACACACACACACACACACACACACACACACACACACACACAATGTTTCGTCACTTAATAAGTTAAAACATTCCATGTTTTAATAGTTAATAACAAGGACATAAATGATCATTTCCTGAGTTAACAGTGCAATGTAAAATTTAATCTGTATTGCTAATAAGACATTTTACAGCATAGAAATGTGATCAAAATGATCATTTACTTTATCATGTCATAAAACACCAGAGTTTACTGTAGTACAGTGATACGCTTTAAATGGTAAGGAAGTCTGTGACTCATCACAAAAGACACCTGTAAGTACTTGTTGCCATGGTCGATTCCAGGTCAAATATCAATAGCAAAATAAGTTATGGTACAAAATAAAGTCAACAAGTTGCCTCTACTGAAGGAACATTTGATTTCATTGAAGAAACTGAAACCTGGATTCTAGTTAACCTTTTAGTTAGTATGTACAAAAATGTTCTCTTAAAAAATACTAAGTAATCACAAATTTAGACAAAACAGTTGAATAAAGGACGATGACAGCTCTTCATTATGCTGTAAAACTATGGATCTCCTCTTTGGAAAAGTTCCTATCACGCAGCAACCTGGAAAACAAATAAAAAGTACATGTTTCTTTGGCAAAATGTTTAAAAATAAAGAAGATCAAAGTTGACCGTCATAACCATAGTATTTTTTCATTTTCCCCGCTTAGTATGCACTTTCTCTTCAAATATCTAGTCAGTGTTCAAATTTTCAACTGTCTCATAAATGCCATAATTCTAAAGTTTGTTTAATGCCAACTAAAATCTACTCAGTGTGATTAGCTGATGTCTTTTAGGTATCTTTTAGGGATCTGTGAGATCCCTTCCATCTCTCTCTCTCTTCGTCCTGTGATTTCTTTGTTGACAAAACCAGGTTTTTAGGTCTTGCGCCACCCAGAGTCTCCATTTTGCTGCATCTCTGTGGTATACTTTATTTTTTTTATTTTTTTATTTTTTTATTTTTTTATTTTTTTTTTTTCAACATTTATTTATTTTTGGGACAGAGAGAGACAGAGCATGAACGGGGGAGGGGCAGAGAGAGAGGGAGACACAGAATCGGAAACAGGCTCCAGGCTCTGAGCCATCAGCCCAGAGCCCGACGCGGGGCTCGAACTCACGGACCGCGAGATCGTGACCTGGCTGAAGTCAGACGCTCAACCGACTGCGCCACCCAGGCGCCCCTCTCTGTGGTATACTTTAATAATATGTTGCTGTGTCTCTTATTTCCCACATTTTAATAACTGGATCTCGAGGCTTGATCAGATACGGGTTCAATTCTTTTTGACAAGACTATCTCCTAGGTAGTGTTCTTCCATCAGGAGGCTTATCATACCTGGTTGCCTCTCTTTTTGGACACTAACAACCATTGGGGATCTACGTATACACCCATTAGTTCATGAAGGACTGAAGTTGGTGATACTCCTGTAACTCTTTCTTCATTTATCAGCTGAGGAATTCTATAGAGAAAAACGAACATCTGCTAATTTATTATGTAGTTGCCCAGTGGCACACCTCACAGAAAAGGCAGACTAAATGCTTCCCCCACCTTTATTCACCAGTTTTCAGAGTAAGGAGTTGATCCCCCAGCACTCTATCCTCATTCTCCCAAACTGAACAAGACAAGCAGAAATGTTGCTGAAGTATAATTCAATTTGGAAAACAGTATAGAGACTGAAATCTTAGAAGTAGCTCTGTTTAAAATGTGGCTGAAACTAGAGAAGGCCAAATACCATATGATTTCACTCATGTGGAATTCAAGAAGCAAAACAAACAAAGAAAAAAGAAACCAAAAAAAGAAAAAAAGAAAAAAAGAAAGACTCTTAAATACAGAGAACAAACTGATGGCTGCCAGAGGGGGGCAGGGAGGGGGGTGGGTGGGTGAAACAGGTTGAGCACTGAGTAATGTACAGAAATGTTGAATCATAGTGTATGCCTGAAACTAATATAACACTGTATGTTAATTATACTTCAGTAAAAAAGAAGAAAACGAAGTCAAAAATAAAAACATTTATTTAGTACTTGCTATATATGTAGTCACTGTGCTATGCACTTCACATTCCTAAGTATTATAATTTATTCCCTTGTACAGGTGAGTGCACTAAAGCTTAGAAAGGTTAAGTATTTGGTTCTAGGACACGTGACTTGTGATTACAGATGCTTACAAGTGGCAGAGCTGGGATTCAAACGCAAATCAGCGGCTTCTAGGCAAACACACATATTCAGACAAAGTAAGGGTGTGCGCAGGAGTCACGGGGCCAACTCCGTGCAATGGTCAAGCCTCTCACTGTTTGGACTCACCTACCTTTCTAGCCACACTTTCTGTCCCTGCCTGGCCACACCAGGCTAGTCTTCTGCATACCTGCCCCTTAATGGGTCTGCTTGTTCCTCGGCCCATCCAACCCTTCCCCGCTTCCTGTGACTGGCAGCATTTTGGCCGTCACTCAAACAACAGGTCTTTCCGACCATGCAGCAACTCTCCCTCCAATACACACCTGCCCAGGTGTAACTTGCCTCTTCCTGAATTTCCTTAACACTTGGGTTCCACCTCTAGTAAGAGGGTTTATGATATTCAGAGTCATATTTTAGTTATTAATGCATGCATTTGCTTCCACCACTAGACAGTGTGGGCCTCGATACCAGAGCCTGTTTTATTCATCTGTGCCACAAACACAGTGGGGATTTGGTAGATGAAAGCACCTTTACTGAGCAAGTGATTATCTTGCTCTTTATATCACAATAAAATCAGTTTCTGAGTCTGTCTCTTATCATATCCTACAAACCTAACGAATTTTCACCAAATATGGAGACTGTGTTTGAAATGGTTATACTTCTGTAGCAGACATGAGATTCATTTTGGAGGGCCTGAAGGAGTGAGAATCGCCCCCAAAGGAGTCATTTTTCAGGACAGCAAAACCTATGATCTAATAAGAGACCCACATAAATGTCAAGTAAGAGACACAAGACATTCATTAAGATGATCGAGACGAGGAAATCAAAGAAACAGGAGTCCTAAATTACAAGTCACAGGGCAGAGGCTATGAACTGCCAAGTACAGGCACGTTCAGAGATACTGTGGATTCAGCTTGCAGACCACTGCAATAAAGTAAATATCAAAATACGGCGAGTCAAATTTTTTTGTTTTCCAATGCATAGCAAAGTTCTATTTACACTACAGTCTATTCAGTGTGCAACAGCATTGTGTCTAAAAAACAATGTACATACCTTAATTAAAAAAATACTTCACTGCTAAAAAAAAACTGCTAACCATCGTCTGGGCTCTCGGCAAGTTGTAATCACCGATCACAGATCACCATAACACACGTGAGAGTAATGCAAAAGAGTGAAATACTGTGACAATTACCAAAATGTGACACAGAAACACTGTTGGCAGGACAGCAACAATGGACTTGTGTGACGCAGGGTTGCCACAATCTGCAGTATGTAACAAAAATGCAGTATGTGTGAAGCACAGTAAGTAGAGAGAAATAGAAAAAGGGTATGTGTGTACTATTTGAATTAAGCTACATCTCACAAGGCAATTCTGTGCAGCATGTTCAATTGTGAGCAAAAGCAGGGATCCATACATGACCAGTGATCCCCCTGAGCAATTCTTGTCAAGCCAGCTAGCAGCATGGAAAGATTAGCTCTGAGGTAAAGCTGAGAAAATAAAGCTGTAGAGATTACATTCAATTTTATAAATGCAGAAGTACTAGGATCTTGGCTATCTTCTATTCAATTACACATAGACTGAGGCTCCGGAATGCAAGGAAGTGGGTATGCAAATGAAGAGCCTGCAAATAGCCCATTGTTCCTGGGAGAAAACAACACACTTCTAATAGGAGGCTGTACCAGGGATTCTTCCTCAGTCAGTTAATTGGGCTAAATGGCCTTAAAGACACAGTCTCTTTCAATGCTGAAGAGTTTATGATTCACATCATTTAAAATGATAATTAAATTGCAGTCTGCTATGAAGTAAGCATTAAGATACATTTAAAATAGCAGTGTCAGGGCGCCTGGGTGGCTCAGTCGGTTAAGCGGTTAAGCGTCCAACTTCGGCAGGACATGGTCTTGGGGCTTTGGAGTTTGAGCCCCGCGTCTGGCTCTGTGCTGACAGCCTGGAGCCTGGAGCCTCCTTCGGATTCTGGGTCTCCCTCTCTCTGCCCCTTCCCCAGCTCACACTCTGTCTTTCTTTCTCTCAAAAAAAATAAACATTAAAAAAAAATTTTTTTTAAATAGCAGTGTCAACAAAGTAAAAGAATGTAGCCTTTAGCCTTTTTCTTTCTGAAAAATTATTTTACTTCAAATCATACTGTTAGTCTTCACTATAAATTTAATAGTTTTGTTCCAGCTTTGAAAGATTAAAAGTTTAAACAGTAATTTTTTAAAAAATTTGAAGTTGAGAGTGCTTATACAAAAGAACATTTTTTCTGAAGGTATTACAATCCAGAAATAAAATTCAATTTAATTAAAATACTTTTTTGGGCGCCTGGGTGGCGCAGTCGGTTAAGCGTCCGACTTCAGCCAGGTCACGATCTCGCAGTCCGGGAGTTCGAGCCCCGCGTCGGGCTCTGGGCTGATGGCTCGGACCCTGGAGCCTGTTTCCGATTCTGTGTCTCCCTCTCTCTCTGCCCCTCCCCCGTTCATGCTCTGTCTCTCTCTGTCCCAAAAATAAACGTTGGAAAAAAAAAATAAAAAAAAAATAAAAAAAATAAAATACTTTAAAAAAAATTTTTTTTTCCAACGTTTATTTATTTTTGGGACAGAGAGCTACCATTGATGCTTCGTCATCCAGTGTCAACTTGGAGTCTTAGCTTATTTATGTTCTAGTCTCTCCTTTTGTCTTGACGTCTGGCTTTCAATCCCTGTATTACTTACTAGCTTTTGCCTAACTGCAGAGAATGAAGAAAGGTGGAAAGCTGCAACAAGATGAACAATGCTTATTAATTATGTCCCAGATAAGAAAGTGGCACCATGTATCCACACTGCCAGTCATTAGCAATGATCATCATCCACATCTAACTCTATGCATAAACCTGGCCTCCAACCTCTCACCTGCATGAAGGTTAAAAACTACTATTTTCTGAGGCTGTAACCGACTATTGTAGTGCAGGTTTGTATGAATGGGAAGAACAGAGCTAAGTCGATTGCTTCTTATGGAAGATTTTCATTTCACAGTGTTGGGCATTCTTTTCCGTACCACATTGCTACTCACCGTATTCCTTGTTCTGTAAATGGGGTTGGTCCACAAATGCAGATGAGGACTTTGGATTTGTCGGAACTTCTTTTCAAAAATTCAGAAAGAAGAGCTGGTGAAATGTGTCCCCATTTGCCATTCCATTCAGAAGTGGGTGCTGAGAGAACAAATTCAACATCAAATCTGGAGGAAAGAAACATTTTTTTAAGTCTATTATTTGAACATATTATTAGCATGTTTTAAGTTCATGAAAACATGTTTTTTTCCCCTTGAGAACAACTGAATACCTAAACTGTAGTGTATGAAGTGTATAAATTGATACACTTGCTAGAAAAGCACTAGAACAGATGATAAGCAAAAGTTTAACAAAAACATATAGGTAAATCCGTATTTACTAAGGGTTAACTTTTGCTACGAATAAGAAGAGTAATCTGGCGTTATTTACTGAACTCACTAGAAAGAGAGTTCCAAGGGATCTCAAAGAACTCCACATTTCTATTCATAATCTGCCTGTATAAATCACAGAACAGAGCAATTACCATTGGCATGTGCGTTTTAATCTCCAACCCAAACCTCTCCAACGAGCTCCAGACCCAAAAGCCTACTGGATTCATTTCTTGCTGTCTTCAACATCAACTTATGATCTCCCTATCCCACACCCGAGGTTATCTTTGTGAACGGCGCCATGGTCCACTTGGTTGCAAAAGCCAGGAGCTTGGGATTCATCCAGGAGACCTTTCTCTGCCTCACCTGCCATAAGCATATCCTCACCAAGTCCTGGCTCCTAACTGTGTGTCTACTTGGCTCAGTCTTCACGTGCTGCCCATCCTCTTCCTGAAATGCTTCTACTAAGCCCCCCACCCCCCTTCAGTTCTTAGCTCAAGCATCATTTCCAAAGGGGGAAGCACTGCAGCCCACAGTGCTCTGTTATGTGTTGTAGGAATGCTTTCCTTTCCCTTTTCTTCGCAGCCCTTACTTCGGCCTGTAAATATGTGGTGATCAAGATGATTATCCTATTAATGTCTACCTTGCCCGCTACATCATAAGCTCCATGTGAGCAAGGATCACGCTCTGGCTGTCACTGCATCCCTAGTGGCCAACACACAGGAGGCATTCAGATACTAAGAAATGAAACACATGAAAGAAAAAAAAAATGGGTACAGAATTAAAATGAGAGAGAAGAACATCAAACCAAATCTCACAACATACTCCAGACCATTTCTCCCCACAGCTCTGTGATCTGGTAAGTGAATTGCTGGTAAAGAATTAAAAATGTTATGTTGTACCTGCTCTCCATTGTAGCAAACACAATTCATTCTTAACCATTTTTAGCAGATCAAATGACTTTCTACATTTCCTAGTGAATAACTGAGATGCTTTCTCAAGACGAGCAGAAATAAATCATATGTTAACATCAATCTTAAGAAAAAGTACAAGTGAACAGTTTCTCTTGTGAGGGGGCCCAGGGAGCCAAATGTCAGAACAGAAACAAGACGTGGCTGGTGCCGCCGCCCTCACGTCGCTGTGCGACAGCTCAGGAAAGGTGCCTGCAAACTGACTGGCACAGAGCAGCACAGGCCAACGCTGAGTGTCTGCAGGGGCTCGGAGAACCAGTCCAGGCTCTCACCCAGACCCAGGCCTCTTGGTCTTATTTGTTCATTTGCAGAATGAGGTGGGAAAACTATATCATCTCTGTTCTAATATTCTGATTTTATATTTAAAAACCCTACAGAATTATGTTCTATTTCTTACCTTTAAGGTCCCCATGTGGTTTTAGCAGCAATCTATTCTACTCTGTACAAAACAGCTTCCCCAAATACTTTCTTTCACTAACTTATTTTTCGTTGCTGGCATTTAAAATTTAAAATAGTTTTAGATAATTCCAGAATGTACTATTTGTACACTGCTCTGGGTTTGGCTTGAGGTAAGTGTGCAAAAATACTTGAAGGAATAAAGAAACTTATTTACAAAGAAGCCATATTGGCTAACAAACAAACAAACAAACAAACGAACAAACAAAAAAACCAAAAATGTGCCTGGAAGAACAAAGTCATATGCTGGCATCTATGAAATCACATTAAAAAATGTACGTGAATTCATAAGTGCATTTTTCTGAGAAGATCCATAGCCTTTCAGCAGATCATCAAAGGAGACCCAAAAGCAACTGCAGAACCATTATGTTAAGACATTTCCAATTATACACAGACAACTGGATAAAAGATTGCAATTACCTGGTTAAATTAAAAATAAAAACTTGTCTCCTCTGGCTCTATTTCCAACAAGTTGGTCACTGGAATAAAATTGCTAAGATCTATAAATTAATACTGGTGTCCCTCTCACCTAATTTTCCTTTATTGAGATATTTAAAAGAAAAAAAAAAGCCTAGTCATTGGCATACCCTCTGCAGGCATCTACTAAAGGGTGATAAATAACTGAGATCCTTACATAAAGGGTGTAACCTTCCCATGCATTTTGTATTTATTCACACAGTGGTCCCTCGGCCATAATTTTTGGGTGCTTAATAGAAAAAGCACACAGCCACATGAATATAATTTTTAGGGATATTGTGAAGAGGATGCTCTCCTGCTTAGCCACTACAGGATTAGAAGAGCTTAAAGTGGGATAGGAGCAATACCAAATTAAGACCAAGAATATTTTAAAGAAGCATTCCTTTTTATCATATTAAGATACAGATGATTACTATGGAATCCTCTCTTCTGGGTTATTATGAATAAGGGCCAATTTGCTGTATGCAACAATTATAGCCATGAGGCATAAGAGTAAATGTTCTGAAACTCTTTTCTGCCCTGTGATCTCAACATGCAGGAAAGGACTAGAACTCTTGAGAAGGTTACCTGAAAATAAATTTAGATAATCTATTAAGTGCAAACAAAGCAACATAAAAAGAGAGCAAGTGGGTGAGAGAAAGTAGACCTGCTTCTGGTAAATACCTATGTGGTCTAAATGTCAATGGAAGTAAACAAGCTGGTGAAAATAATTACTATTTTTTTTCAATATATGAAGTTTATTGTCAAATTGGTTTCCATACAACACCCAGTGCTCATCCCAAAAGGTGCCCTCCTCAATACCCAGCACCCACCCTCCCCTCCCTCTCACTCCCCATCAACCCTCAGTTTGTTCTCAGTTTTTAAGAGTCTCTTATGCTTTGGCTCTCTTCCACTCTAACCTCTTTTTTTTTTCCTTCCCCTCCCCCATGGGTTTCTGTTAAGTTTCTCAGGATCCACATAAGAGTGAAACCATATGGTATCTGTCTTTCTCTGTATGGCTTATTTCACTTAGCATAACACTCTCCAGTTCCATCCATGTTGCTACAAAGAGCCATATTTCATTCTTTCTCATTGCCACGTAGTACTCCATTGTGTATATAAACCACAATTTCTTTATCCATTCATCAGTTGATGGACATTTAGGCTCTTTCCATAATTTGGCTCTTGTTGAGAGTGCTGCTGTAAACATTGGGGTACAAGTGTTCCTATGCATCAGTACTCCTGTATTCCTTGGGTAAATTCCTAGCAGTGCTATTGCTGGGTCATAGGGTAGGTCTATTTTTAATTTTTTGAGGAACCTCCACACTGTTTTCCAGAGTGGCTGCACCAATTTGCATTCCCACCAACAGTGCCAGAAGGTTCCCGTTTCTCCACATCCTCTCCAGCATCTATAGTCTCCTGATTTGTTCATTTTGGCCACTCTGACTAGCGTGAGGTGATATCTGAGTGTGGTTTTGATTTGTATTTCCCTGATAAGGAGCGATGTTGAGCACCTTTTCATGTGCCTGTTGGCCATCTGGATGTCTTCTTTAGAGAAGTATCTATTCATGTTGAAAATAATTATTTTTTTTTTCCTAAAGAAACACGTGTTTATTTATTTTTGAGACAGGGAGAGACAGCATGAACGGGGGAGGGTCAGAGAGAGAGGGAGACAGAGAATCTGAAACAGGCTCCAGGCTCCGAGCTGTCAGCCCAGAGCCCGACGCGGGGCTTGAACTCACAGACCGTGAGATCATGACCCGAGCCGAAGTCGGACGCTTAACCGACCGAGCCACCCAGGCGCCCCTGAAAATAATTATTTTCAAGTAGACTGATAATGATCCAAGATGAAAAGTCTTGAAATACAAATGTATGCATTCAATCTAAAATGACTGCAGAGCCTGCAGTCATCAACAACTGATTCCCTCCCCCTCTGGCCAATCAGCTTCCAAAATGTACCTCCTTCACATTTCTTACACATATCTCCTGCCTTCCTATTTTTACTGCCACAACTCTGCAATAGGCCTTTATATCTCTCGACTAAAATACTGCTCTAATATCCTTAGCCCTAATCTATCTGACACATCATGGCTATATTAGTTCTTCTAAAAACCCAGAACCCATCTTACAACTTTCTGCTCAGAAAGCTTCTGTGATTAGTCACTGCCTAGAGAAGGGTATTTCAGGGTATTTGGAGCCCCAGCTTTTCCTGATTTCTCTAGATAAAGAAAAATACTAGATCATAGGGTATTTGTCTTTCTCTGACTGACTTACTTTGCTTAGCATTAAACTCTCTAGCTCCATCCATGTTATTGCAAATGGCAAGATTTCATTTTTTGATGGATGAACAATACCACATGATTTCACTCATATGTGGAACTTAAGAAACAAAACAAACACACAAAAAGAGAGAGAGAAACCGAGAAGCCACTCTTAACTATAGAGAACAAACTGGTGGTTACCAGAGGGGAGGTGGGTGGGAAGATGGGTGAAACAGGTGAAGGGGATTAAGAGCCCACCCATCACAACGAGCACTGAGTAATGTACAGAATTCCTGAATCACTATATTGTATACCTGAAACTAACAAAACACTGTATGTTAACCATACTGGAACCAAAATAAAAACCAATAAAAAAGAGAAAAATACTAGAAACAACAGGAAAACTAGTTACTTGCTCATAGGGTAAGAATTCACAAAATAAACAGGTAGGGGTTAAAATTTGATAAAATATACATATTACAGAGACATTTCTCAAAATGAATCTGATGAAACACTAGTGTGCTTCCAGATGTGAGTGGTAATCCATGAGAGAAGGCTAACCTCTCAAATGAGTATGGGACTACTGGGTTAAGAAAAGTTAAATAGATTTCTTCAGAATTTCTCAAAACCTTGAATATGCTAACTTCGCAACAAA